TGACATCTGCAATTATTTGACTAATTTTATTCCTATGACATCCTGTTCATCCAACAATATAAATACCTCTCTCATGTTCGAATACGATGCAAACTGAAATGTTTGTAAACCATCCTGATACTAAAGGGTGAACTTAGTAGTCATCATATTCACTATAAGTTGTTAAATTTTCATAAAATTCGTCGAGTACATTTAGTGCTTAACACATAGTCGATCACTTAAAACAAACAACCATTATAGGTACCCTTCTTGTAACATAAGTATATACAAACTTAGAAAATGTTTGGCTTAAGGTTGCGTTCAGGTTACCAACATTGGCAAATATATCAGTTTAGTGATGATAATTTATGAGAAAATTATCATATGTTTAAATCATTCTTGATTTAAATAAAATGATTCATTATTTATTTAATGCGAATAAAACTAGATTGATCTTTCGTGTTTTCTAGGAAATCTTGATATTATGAAAAGATGTTGGCAGAACACAAATAATTATGAAGTAGTTCTTTAACATCTGAAACTACTCGAGTTGGTTGTCATCAAAATGTAACATGTTCGCAGATATAAGTTACTAAAATGCAATGAACATCCATAAATATTTCCTGGTCAAGAAACATATTAAATTATTATTTCAAGCAAAAATGGATAGTGCAATACAGGATGCGCGTTTTTTCCTATTTGAGACTCGTCAGCTGGATATACCTGCATCTGAGTTGGTGTTCACCCCTGGACTCCAACCCACTACCATTCGCTTCAAACGCCATCGCGTTATTCACTTAGCTACTGAGTCCTTAAATCATAATCAAATAATTTTTTGATATAAACAGTAAAAGTTATATGTTTGATATATTTAATCCTTAGTTTTATATGTAAAATATGGGATACGTGCATGAGCTTAATAATCAATGAAGTGTGGCACTGAATTTCATAATAATGCTACGCTAGATAAAAACTGTTTATATTAAAATGATACATACTTCACATATATAATGATTTGGGATAATGATAAGCGAAAAGTAAGTTCGAAGTGTATAAAACTGATATCTGTTGGCACACATATATTCAATGACAACAGTAATACACTTTTTCTTAATTCAAAATGTTTAGTCAGTTATGATAACTTTACTTACAAGAAAATGTGGTTTCATGCAATATCTTTTAAGTACACTTGTTGAGGTAGAAAAACCTAGTAACATGATGTTTCTAATTCAAGAAATAAGCACTGGTCTCGTGATGATCAAATGTATTAAAAAAACTAGTTTTTCACCAATGTTACTAATTTTACGTGTAATCAAAGTCTCAGCTATTACCTATTGAAGAAGAAAATAACTTAATGGACTTATGAAACTCTCACCAGTTGAATAATTTATATTTCTTCCAATTCAGTACAGAATTTGGTAACGTTTAATTTTTAGAAATAAATAAATTATACTGTGCAGTTTTGATCAAATCATGTCACCAAATTTGTATAAAAAGTTGCATAATTGACTTGGTATTATTTGCTTGTATCTTCCCATTGTTATTTAGATCTGCAACTGATCGGTCTCTTGTTAGCATATGTGTATCCTCGATGTTACCTTAAGTCATAAACATTATTAGCACAGATAAACGATGGATAGCGGTGGGATCCAAAACACGCATTTCGTCCTATTTGGAGCTCTTCAGATGAATGTACATGGACTAAAAGTAATGAGAAAACATTTCTGAATAAATTATTTGTCACTTATCATTACGACTTGATAATAACTTATCATATATATTTCAAAAACCGAACAGAACTTTGTCGATATACTTTTCTCATGTCTAAAAGCATAGTTTAAAATTAAACAAAAGGAATTTAACCACTTTTGATTAAACATGAAAAATTGTTTGTACCAGGGTAGCAGCTTCGATGTCTTTAACGTATAGGTGCTCATGAAGTAGATCAACCAATCGGATACAGATAATCCAACTGTTTGATCTGAGTTTGTACTGAATCGTTGAAAAAATTAAAATTGAATGCATAAATTGTTTCTTATCGTCGTTTTATTCCACATACATCAACCAATTTTTAATCTATAATAAACTATTATAACAGATAACAAAGTCAATCAGTTCACCATGTTCAAATGTATTTGCCTTAATTCTTTTCTTAAAAGTGATTAATTCTAAATTCGTTCTGTTTCTCATTATTCAATTTAAATAAACACATTTGGTTGTTTTATTTCAGACAAGTAATTCATTTGATTAGTTATTCACAGTGAGTGATCAGTGATTAGTGAGAAATATATAATGTTTGTCTAGTCCTTGGTTTGGATCAAATTCTGTCGGTCAGGTAGTAGTGTGATAAGGAACTTGATTGATTTGAAGTCGTTTGTACTATATTTTGATGTCAGGTGATTGTATATAGTGAGCACAAAACTTGGGAGTAAGTTTCATTCTAGTTAGCACTCGTTTAAAAAATGGACCTGACATACTGGGGAAGCTAATGCTCTCAATGCAATTCGACCACACCTCGTATCGTTATACAGTCTGAAAAGCTATGATTTGGATATTCGGGTAGCAAATAAAACGAATACGATATTGGTTACCAATTAGTAACTGTAAATATCTCAAACCTACGGGAGATCAGTCGTAGACCAAATGGCTCAGTGGTACCATCATGAACTGTGAAGCTAAGTGACTCGGGATTAATATAACAGCTACACCCTACTAACGATTGCCAACTAACGAGGAATCAGAGCTCATGATTTTTCTTCAACTATATAGCATCAGTTTGTTTGGTTTCATAGTTTACATACAGATTTAATCAAGACATAAATAGTATCATCAATAAGTTGAATTAGCCCAATAAAGCTTATTTCAGTATCGATATTCAATCAGTTGTTTTTGTAATTGTAAATGACAGTGTTCTCTATCTCTAAAATCAATAGAACTCTCACTTGTCACTAAGAATACTATTAATCTAAAGTTCTATGCAAGAGGCCCTTCACGATTCCAAAGAAACTCAACAGATTATTCAAGACCAATAATCACAACTTTGTAGTGAAACGACAATCCGGAAGAATACATGACAAAAACAAAAAAGGTATGCACTTTCTAATAACTAAGTTATTATGGTCATGTAAACTTGATGATTCGAATCTCAAATCCGATACAATCGGAATGTCAGAAGTGACTTAAGAACCTAAGAAAAAACCAAATAAGAAATTTTTTTCTTTCAATAGATAATTCACAATTATAACATTTTGAACTAAAAGCAGAAAAAGTGGTTTCCAATAGTTTATCTTTGATTCACGAATTTCAAATTATGTTTAAAAAATGCACAAGCACATAATTTCATACATATATATGCATGTTTCAAACTGTTTATAACAGTTTGCAAACAGTTGATAAAGAAGCACAGTAGGGCCATTAGTAGTAAATAATTTGTGAAGAAAATTACTCTCAGTCACCCTATTTGTATTTGCTGATGCCATTCAGTTCATATCTAACTTTCCTTACCGAGCAGTAACCTTTGTAAGTTACACGACATTTTGACAACTGTGTCAAAATATCTCTTCAATGATGTATTGCACTTTTATGATTTTTCTCTTTTGGTAACTATGTTCTAGCCTACAGAATATTTTTTGCACCTTTCTTTTACCACTTTTTTCCTTAATGAACACACACTTTATAAGGATTCAAAACGTAATCGCCGTGAAAAATATGTATGACATTAACGAAACTGATTAAATAAAACAATTTTTGACGTATGAACTATTCTGGCTAACATGATATAATATCTGTGAATTCAAAACCAAAATCTTGAAGATGGAGATATTATATATATAATCCCTTGTTTTTAACATTACTTGCTTATTTACGCCTATTACCTGTCGTGAAGGAGCATAGGCCGTTCATCAACATTCTCCATCCGACTCAGTCCTGGGCAATCCTTCCCACTTGTTTCCAGTTGCCATTCATTCTTTTCAACTCTGCCTACAACCCTCTGTGGAGTGTGTTATTTAGCCTTCATCATTTCCTTCTTCTTTCAGGATTACAAGTTAGCGCATGGTTCGTGATGAAATATAATGATTTCCTCAATGTGTGTCCTATCCACTTCCATCGTCTTTTCTTGATTTCCTCTTTAGATAGAAAATGATTTGTTCTTTACCATAGTAGGCTGCTGCTGATAGTATCGGGCCAACGGATCTGCACTATCTTGTGTAGACAACTGCTTATAAGTACTTGTACTTTTTAATGATGCTTGTATTTTAGTTCTCCACGTTTCAGCTCTGTACATGAGAACTGTCTTGACGTTCGTATTGAAGATTCTGATTTTTATATTGGCTGACAGATTTTTCGAGTTCGGTATGTTCTTCAATTGTAGGAATGCTGCTCTTGCTTTTCCAATTTCTACCTTAACGTCTCCATCTGATACTCCTTGTAAGTGAAACTTCCCACCTCTTTCAAGGTTTGTGCATCAAGTGTGATTGGGTTATTCTCTGAGTTGTATTTGTGGATTTTTTTTTCTCTTGTGTATGTTGAGGTCTACTGATGTATAGGCTGGTGATACAGTGGTTGTCTTGACTTGCATTTACTCATGTATATAATATAGAAGGGCTAGGTCATTTGCAAAGTCCAAATCATCTAGTTGCATCTACGTTTTTCATTTTATTCCTTTCTTACTGCCAGATGTCGAGGTTCTTATAACCCAGCCAGCCAGGTGATGTTGACGACTTTCTCAGGTACACCTTAGTATCGCAATAGGTTCCACAAGGTTCTCCGATCCACACTGTCAAATGCTTTCTCATAGTCAATGAAGTTAGAGTATAGTGACGAGTTTCATTCAACTGATTGCTCAACAATGATTTGTACTGTCTCGATTTGGACTGTGCACGGGTAATGCTTTTGAACATATTTACTTGATTTATTTGATTAATTAACAATACTTTAATATTTCAATTTTTTCATTGGTAGAAAATTCTAAATATGGTTATCGACGAATCAGATTAACTCATTTTTATCTAACTGTCAACAATTGAACATGATTATTCAATTAATAGTGAAACAAAGGAAAAATAATGATAATTTCCGTTATAAATAGGTGTTTCAGTCGTTAGTGAATTACAAATAATAAGTGACATAGACCCTATATAGTTAAAACAGATAAATTTACTACCCAGTTAACAACGTCATATCATAATAAAAACACTATTGAAATCCGAAAAAAAATATCCATCCATAAAAAATTATTAGTACACGAAATTTGTCATTATTAAACAATTGTAGTTAGCTTCATTTTTTTTTTAAATTTTGTGAAATAACTATGTTTTTCAGTATAGCTATTTTAAAGATTATTTTAATGACAATGTATTTCAATTATCTGTTCGCATACAGAACAACAACAAGCGACGAAGAAATGAAGCATTATTCTCAAGATGAACGTAAGTTTTACTTTTATGAAACTAATAATTTAACAACATGAAGGTCTTCAGCTTTATCTTTTTTTTACATATCACCATGTTATTAGTAAATATCGGAACTCATTAGCTAAGTGGATAACAAAATGGCATTTGAAGCGAACGTTACTGAGTTCGAGTTCCCTAGTGAAAGTTAACTGTGGGGTACAGGCACATCCATCTGACGAGTCCCAAATAGGACAAAACGCGAGTCTTGGATTTCACTGCTAGACACTATCCATCTTTGTTTATAATGAATGTGATTTAAGGCAATATCAAGATGATTCATACATGATGCACATATATGATTTCTTTAACAAAACTTTTTTGATTTATTCCGAATAAAAAAACTAGAATTTTCATCACAATAGTCATGAACTATGTTAACCGTCTTTTAGTTCGCACCATTAACATAAATTTTATGTGGTTAGTTTTTGTTCACTTTTAAGAAATATATAGTGTGTTTAAAGAAAAGTTAAAGTCAATTTCCGATTCATTATTGATGATAACAGCTATAGAAATATTGAAAAATTGAGAGTACTGGACAACTGTCCAATCGTAAAATAAAACTTCTGTGTCTATTTATGTCATTATGATATTGGCAGAGATAAAAGACAAAACATTCGGATTGCACAGAAAAAATTAGTTTTATACGATATTTTTAATGGTAAAGTGCGAACAGTTATCTTTTAATAACACTGAATAACAAAACACTACTGTTACTTAATTCTGATTCACTGATGTGGATCTGATTGGTTTATCGTGCAACCTGAGACACAAATGAAGATAAAAAATATCACTTCAATGTTTCATCTCATTTCCAGTTCTTTAGTTGATATTAATCTTTAGAGAAAAAAAGAATTTAAACAAAGAATGGTTTCCATAAGCTCTTCCACCAAATAATAGTTAGTTCATCTTATTCTTATTACATATATTTATCATACTTTTGGGAAAGTTATTTTCTTCTTCATGAACCTTTCTGTTCACCAAAAAAAGGAAACAATTGGTATTACGAAGTTTTAAGGTAATCACAATGAAACACTAATAAAATAACCTTCAATAACTGGCTTTCCTGGAGTGCTTCTTTACATTAGAAGACCTTGAAAAATGTTATATTCAATTAAAACATACTTCATAATCAAACCATATCAAACAGTCAACATCAAATAATTTGTAAATAAATAGATAAATGATCTCACGTTTTATTTTAAAAAATAATGAAAATACTAAGAATAAGTGTTTAATATGACTTACTGAAGATGAAGGATTGATTGCATCATGCTCCTTCAGCTCTTCCATTATGGTTCCTAAAATACTGTGATTATGGCATATGATATCATATTATTCAGTGCTTCCAACAGTTAGTTAATGAAATACCATTTTGAAATTATTAATAATAATATCTGATGTCTAGCACTTTACGTTTAAAAATATAACAATCCATTGACTCTCTATATTCTAAATCCATACAAATGTGTATCGGTAACGTTTAACATTTTTTTTAAAAATGCACTGAAACCTTACTTTTTTAAAATAAGCTTTGAATTCAAAATACGAAATAATCCCCAAGTTATCTTGAGAAAGCTCTATGATCTACCTAACAATAATTCTAAACAGAAAAATGTAAAGAGTACGGAATTTTAACAGTGTTTTCATACTGTTTGTTTTTATTTAGGCAGGAACATTTTTTCCTAAAATTAAGCAGATTGTCTTTCCAAATAAACTTTTTTAATCATGTATCATGGAATAAATTGATTGGATTATTATGTTTTCTGAAAACTGTATTTAAATTGCTACAATCAGACCTTAACTATTTATCATTCAGTGATTATTTAGTAGTAAAGCGTGTACATACCATTACTTACTTACTTACGCCTGTTACTCCTAATGGAGCATAGGCCAACGACCAGCACTCTTCAACCCACTCTGTCTCGGGTCTTCGTTTCTAGTTCCATCCAATTCTTGTTCATTTCTCTCATCTCTATTTCAATTTCCCGGCGTAATGTGTTCTTTGGTCTTCCTCTTTTCCTTTGACCTTCAGGATTCCATGTGAGGGCTTGTCTTGTAACGCAGTTGGGTGCTTTCCTCAATGTGTGTCCTATCCACTTCCAGCGCTTCCTCCTGATTTCTTCCTCCACTGGGATCTCGTTTGTTCTCTCCCACAGTACGTTGTTGCTAATAGTGTCCGGCCAACGGATCTGAAGTATTTTGCGTAGACAATTGTTAATAAACACCTGTATTTTCTGGATGATGGCTTTCGTAGTTCTCCAGGTTTCCGCCTCATACAGTAGAACTGTCTTGACATTTGTATTGAGAATCCTGACCTTGGTGTTGGTTGACAGTTGCTTTGAGTTCCAGATGTTCCTCAGTTGTAGATATGCTGCTCTTGCTTTGCCGATCCGCGCCTTCACATCTGCATCAGATCCACCCTGTTCATCAATGATGCTGCCCAAATACGTAAAGGTTTTTACATCTTCCAAATCTTCTCCGTCAATTGTGATTGGATTGGTGCATTCTGTGTTGTATCGAAGAATCCTGCTTTTCCTTTTGTGTATATTGAGACCTATTGCTGCTGAGGCTGCTGCCACACTGTTCGTCTTCTCCTGCATCTTTTGTTGCGTTTGGGATAGAAGGGCCAGATCGTCTGCGAAGTCTAGATCACCCAACTGCATCTTAGGTGTCCATTGTTTCACATGCTTCCCTTCAGATGTTGACGTCTTCATGATCCAGTCGATCACCAGGAGAAAGAGAAAGGGTGAGAGTAATCAACCTTGCCTAACACCGGTCTTTATTTCGAACGACTTTGTCAACTGTCCTCCATGCACAGTTTTGCAGTGTAATCCATCATATGAACATTGTATGATATTGACTATCTTCTGAGGCACGCCGTAATGTCGAAGACGTTTCCATAGTGTTGTTCTGTCCACGCTATCAAATGCCTTTTCGTAGTCAATGAAGCTGATGTAGAGTGATTAATTCCACTCAATTGATTGTTCCACAATGATCCGTAGAGTTGCGATTTGGTCTGTACACGATCGATCCTTACGGAATCCTGCCTGTTGGTCACGAAGTTGAGCGTCTACGCAGTCCTTCATCCTGTTTAACAATACCTTGTTGAAGACTTTGTCTGATATTGAGAGAAGAGTGGTGCCCCTGTAGTTATCACACTTGCTGGGATCGCCTTTCTTCGGTATTTTGATCAGAAGTCCTTCTTTCCAGTCTGTTGGTACTTGTTCCTCATCCCAAATCTTATTGAAGAGAATGTGGAGTATCCTTGCAGTTGCCGCTACGTCTGCTTTTAGTGCCTCTGCTGGAATGTTGTCCGGTCCTGCTGCTTTGCCACTCTTGATTTGTCTGATGGCCATGCTGATTTCATCAATTGTTGGTGGGCCAACATTGATTGGGAGGTCCGTGGGTGCTGCTTCGATGTTGGGTGGGTTCAGTGAGGCTGGTCGATTCAAGAGTTCTTTGAAGTGCTCTACCCACCTGTTTTTTTGCTCTTCAATGTTGGTGATTACTTCGCCTTCCTTGCTTTTCACTGGTCGTTCTGGTTTGCGGCGATTACCAGAGAGTTTCTTTGTCGTGTCATACAATTGTCTCATTTTTCCTTCTCTTCCAGCCTTTTCCGCCGTCGTTGCTAAATCTTCCACATATTTACGTTTGTCGGTTCTGATGCACCTCTTCACTTGTTTGTTTATTTCCGTGTATTCAGCTTGTGCCTTGGCTTTTTCTGCTCTTGTTCGGCTGGTATTGATCGCTGCCTTCTTGTTCCTCCTTTCTTGAATCTTATCCAGTGTACCAACAGTGATCCATTCCTTGTGATGGTGCTTCTTGTGGCTCAGGACCTCATGACATGTTGAAGTGATTGCCTCTTTGATCCCCTTCCAGTTGCTCTCCACAGTAGTTCCTTCTCCATTGAGTAGATCATGAAAGGCCTGGAACTTGTTGCTGAGGACTATCTTGAATTTGTTGAGTTTGTTAGTATCGTGAAGAAAGGCCGTATTGAACTTTTGTGATATTGTCCGCCTCATTGTCCAGTGCTTCTCGGGTTTCAATTTCATCTTGGCGACCAGTAAGTGATGATCTGATGCTATATCAGCTCCTCTCTTGGTTCTCACGTTCTCTATATTCCTTCTGAACGTTTTGTTGATGCAAATATGGTCGATTTGGTTTTGTGTAGAGTGATCCGGTGAAGTCCATGTGGTTTTGTGTATGCGTTTATGTGGGAATATGGTGCCGCCTATGACCAGTTTATTGAAGGCACATAGGTTTGCAAATCTCTCACCATTTTCATTCCTTTCTCCCAGTCCGTGTCGTCCCATGATGTCTTCATATCCAGTGTTGACCGTTCCAACCTTGGCATTGAAATCTCCTATCCGAATGGTCACGTTCTTTCTTGAGCATTTCTCAACGATTGAATACAGCCTATCTTAGAATTGATGTTTAATATCTTCTATGTAATAGTTGGTAGGCGCATAGCATTGGCTGACGTTCATTGAAATGCCCTCTTTCTTTGTTTTGAACGAGGTTTTGATGATCCTTGGTCCATGAGAATCCCATCCTATAAGCGTATTTTGTACTAGTTTGGACAGCATCAATGCAACTCCTTGTGTATTTGGTGCATTTTCTTCTTCATGGCCGGAGTATAACAGGAGCTCTCCTGTAGTTAGTCGTTGTTGTCCAACTTGTGTCCAATGTGTTTTACTGATCCCAAGTACCTCTAGGTTGTATCTTCTCATTTCTGCAGCAATCTGGAAGGCTCTTCCGGTGTCCCACATTGTACGAACATTCCATGTACCTAAATAAATGGTCGCTCTGGTTGTCAGAAGGGGTATCAGCCTCGTAACTTCCGAAGGAATTCGGCTTTCATCATTAGGCGTCATAATTCTTCTAAATGAAGACCTTCTGACTGCCAGGGCAGAGTTTAAAAGGTTTGAATAATTTTTTCTGGTTAGCGTTTTTTTAGCGAGTTAGTTTTCTACGGG